ATTGGTTGGACCAAAGAGCGTGTTTCGTCCTGTATGACTCTATGACTCTATGACTCTATGACTGCAAGAGCGCAGGTTCCTCAGCCTTTGCAATCGTTCAACAGGTTTGAGATTGTTTCATTTTGCCTGAATGAGCGTGAGGGCCATATGCCAATAAATTAACTGAGCACCATATCATAAGAGATCAAATTTGGAAAGATGTGGTAAATCAAGGAGCAGAGTCAAGCTCGAATAGAAAGGTATTCATGAGGGAAATAATAAACAAACCAGAATACGAAGGGATAGAGAATACAAATCTATGAGTCAAGCTTCGTATAGGACTAGAATTTACAAGAAGAGTAGGTGGATGAAATTAAAGGTTCTCTATCTGAAAAACAAAACAGATGAACCAAGGTATTAATATTAAATAAGTGGACGCTGGTAGCCATTAGACAGACATGGCTGCAGGATAACATGGATTAGGACCTGAATATTGAAGGGTACAGAACGTTTAGGAATGACAACACGAAACTAGGAAGAAGTTGGAGACATGGTCCTGTTAGTTAATTATGATATTAGCACATTACAGAATGATGACCTCAGTTCAGGAAACCAAGCTGCGCAAATAGTTTGAGTAGAGTTGAGGAATGATTAGGTTAAAGTGGGAGTAACAGTGACCACACTTAGGGGTACAGCATAAAGGAAGAAGTACTGAGAGTTTGTCAGAAAGGCTCAGAGATAGTCATGGGCGATTTTAAGCAACATATCGACTGGAAAAGACAGATGGGTAAGGTGGCCTAGATGAGGAGTTCATAGAATATTTATGGCACAGGTTAAAAGTAGTTTCTGCTCCCGGGCTGCTTTGCTCACAGAGCTAGGCACCAATCTCATGCATAGAGCACTATCGACCTCAGGATTCTTCATTTGTTTTCTCAGCACTAACTTCTTTGCACCTACTTGGATCAAAGCAACTTTGCCATACATGGTCTTTCCTTGCTGTGCTTTTTCAGTCTTTTGTCCTCTCAGTTGAATCTTACAGGCTCACAGTAGTTGTGACTTGCCTTGTTTTTCCTGCAGGCACGAAGCAAGGCAGCTTATCATGGCTGTCATCATAGATCAATCAAGGGGATGGGCATTTAACTGTACAGCATGGAGCTATGGCTACACCATGTGATTGCAGCTCATGTGGCAAACATATTACATGTGCTTCAACCAAATATCTCAAAGTCTAATGGGAGTAGACTTCAGTGAAGTCAAACAGAATATTCCACAACAAACAGTCAAGAATAGTGTCCAATCTCAGTCCAGGGACTTGGATACAGTCAGAAAACTGCTTGGGGCAGCTAGGGTGAGGGTTCGGTATCATTAAAGTCTGGGGAGTGGGCAGTAAGTTCTGCAGGTCCAGTGCAACCTGTTACGGGATTAGCAGTAAGTCAACCAAGTAGTTACACAGACATCAATCAGGGATCTGGTCATTCATCAGCCAGGGGTCTGGTCACTCATCAGTCAGGGGTCTGGTCACTCATCAGCCAGGGATCTGGTCACTCATCAGCCAGGGATCTGGTCACTCATCTGCCAGGGATCTGGTCACTCATCTGCCAGGGGTCTGGTCACTCATCAGTCAGGGATCTGGTCACTCATCAGCCAAAGCCATCCTGCCAAGTCAGTTGAGGGTGGTCCCCAGTTAGTGCTGGGACCACAGCTGTAATAGGGAAGTGAAGGAAGTCAGTTGTGGGGATTGAATGAAGCATCAAGGATGCTGAAGGGACAATGATCATGATGGAGTGAGTCAGTATGCAAGGGTCAGAGATGATAGTGCATTGGAGGACATGGATCACAGAAGGTGGGTGTCATCAACTGTTACCACCTTAGCTTGCATGGGGCAGCCTGTGTGCCACATCGATTGGCATGGCTCAGTTGTAGGCCCAGGACTCAAGGGGTAATGTTGGGAGGTGAAACCTTAAATGAAGCAGTTGGGTGGGAACATGTGGTAGCTTGGAACCGTTGGGGTCAACAGGCAGTGCAAGGAACATGAAGGTTTGGGGTGTCACTTCAATTACCAGGCTCAACCTATGACTCACTCTTTAACACACAACCAGATTACCTTACATCCTCATGTGGATCATGAATATACAATGGAAATGAAAAATGGCTACCACCACATCCAGAGCGGGCAAAGTAAGTCATTCTGATTGTCTGACCACACAGGGTCTACTTGCAAATGATGTGAGGCCCTTTAAGGGGGAGTTGCATTAATCAGGCAGGTTAAAGACATCTATAATCATAGAATCCTGCATGTTAAATGCTCACAGTCCAACTATGAATGATGCAAATCCTGGACAGAAGCAATCTCGACCATATCACCGCTCATTCCAAATTGATCATGGTCAAGCAAAAGTATTTACAGGGTGTCCTTTAAACTCACTAAGACAATTCAAGGCTGCACAAGGGCATGGAGCTGATTTCTTTTCACCTTCAATTGTAAGTATTTAACAATATCCTGTTATATGCACTGCAGTGTTTCTAAGGTGATGTGGAGTGTTAGAGTAGGGGACAAGGTTTCTGTAGTCCTACCGCATTAACAGAATGACTTGTGCCGCATGCATCAGAATAAGGTACATTCTGTGAAAGGTCAATGTAGAGGCAATCTATGGAGTTCTTTGTCAGACTCCTCCATGTCCCACTGCACGAGGACTATACTAAAGGTAAAAGGGGGTCAGTTGGCTGGTTTGCAATGCAGAGTTAACACCAACAGTGTGGGTTCAATTTCTGCACTGGCTGAAGTTACCATGAAGGACTTTCCTTCTCAACCTCTCCCCTCACCTGCGGAGTGGTGACCTTCAGGTTAAAACACTACCGTTCATCTCTCTCTAATGAGAGAGCAGCCCTATGGACTGGTAAGACTATGGCAACTTTACCTTTAATTTTTCCATGCTAAACTATCATTTGTGAATGACGCAATTGCTGACTGCTCACATTACTGAGTATCTAATTTGTTTCTGATATTCCCCACACAGGTTCATTGGAAACATGACCTTTAGATCCAGCCACAGGAGGAGCTTTTATCATTATGGGTACAGTGCTACAAAGATGCAGAGAAATAGAGGAGGAACAATTGTGTCAGCAAGTCCTGGACCCAACAGTAACTTCAGCAACTGTTAAACAGCCTCCGGATGAGGAAACGGTAGCTGTAGGCCCCAAGGATATGAAGGACCTATAGGAAGCTCACCATCTATTACCTTCAAGCTGTTTCTCCCAGTTGAGTGAAGCACCTTGCAAACTGAGAATATCCCAGGGTGAGCCACAGAACTGTGTCATCTGCTGGAGCAGGACATTGAGACCTGATGTGCTAGATGGCCATCCTATCCCAGTAACAGTCAAGACGGCTGCATTAAACTTTTATGCAACTAGCTGCTTCTAAAGATCCACTGGAGACCTGTGTGAGATTTCTTAATCCTCAACTCACAAATGCATCAAGGCTGTCAGCAGTGCAATCTGTGCCAGATCACACCATCTTGTTTCCCTGTGACATGGTCAGCAATGTGGTCTAGGCATACGCTTTGTCAGTACAGCTGGAATCCCCCAGGTGTCACAACCATCACTTATGAGCATGCACTGATGCCTGAGCCCTAGGGTCATCACAAAAACCTAACCGGCTTAAGCAACGTTCTCCATTTTCCTGTCTGACGGTCTTAAGTTAACAGAAAACATTGATCAGGTTTCCGCACTTAAGAAGAAATTACTGTTTATTTTGAAGAAATCAATTCTAAACACAGGAAAATAAAATATGAATTACCTTTTTTTAACCCTGCTGGCTTAAACCCTGTTCCCTTCCTAAACCTGCACGCACACATATGCATACAGACAGAAAGCGGCACCACGAGAGGTGGGTGCATATATAATGTGGTGAAGAGTGGAGAACTGCTTGAGATATTTTGCTACAGCTGACAGAGAAATCCTAAAATTGACACTTTGCAGCTGATTTTTGGTCAAATTCAGCCCTCAGTTTTCTTGGGGAAATATTTTGACCTTCTTGCCTGTGAAATCATTTGATACTTTGCATATCAATCCCAGTATCTGGATCTGGTGAACTGGCCTTTGGGAGGGCATCCAAATTTCTGAAAGAGATTTGAATGTCATTTGCGAGTGACTAGACTTCCTGGTACTGTATGCTTCATAATATCACAGCCTATATACACAAAAATACATTTGTTCCAATTCACATGCATTTTCAAAGCTAATTGAAAGATATAAAATTCCCATCTGGACATAAAATATCCTAATAGATCAACATGATTATGAGAATCCACCAGTTGAATTATCCTAGATCAGAGGCTTTTTGTCTTCACATTTTTTCCCCATCTTGTTCCTCCTGCAACCCAGTTTATATAATGGAACAATGATCTATGTGTTCCCCATTCCATTTACGTTATTAATCTATCTGATGGTTATTGTGGTTTAAAGATTAATTCCTAGAAATGAGCTTGAGAATACAACTAGCTGCTTATTTCACAGATTACATCATTTCAATGTGCTTTTTACCCAAAGGATTAGGCATTGCAACCTGGCTGTGAAATTGTACTTTTGTTTTCAATTCAAATTTACAAAATGTTCCCTTTTTTCTAATAATAAATTAGTTATTCACATGAAAAAATGAAAAAAACATCCAGACAATAGCGTCAAATGTGTAGAATATAATTCAAATATTTTATTCTCCAATTCAACCATTTGTGAATAAGGTAAAGCATTCAGCATTTAATAAATGTAATTGGCTTAGGCTCAAGTAGACATCAAACAACCAGTAAAGCTATTCATAAGTTTATTTTTTGTATATCATTCCAGTATTTAAAGGCAAGCTTATCCCCTGTCCCTTCCTCCCTGCCCCATTACAAGTAAACAACTAGATCTATGGTCAAAAAAACTTCTGGGACTGTGATGGGAAATTACAGCATGCCTTGTTCCCTGTTCTTGTCTTATCCAGATTCCTATGTGAATGAAGGAACAAAACTTAGTTTACTCACATTATGCTTGAAGGACACATTTGTCTGTCGGGACCTTTTCTCTGCTAGGAGGTCTTTGACAGTGTGCTTGACACGGACTCCTTGATACACACGTTTAGAGTGTTCCGAGTGAACTGTTAAAATAAAAATAAAACTGAAGAGGAAGCGGTTGCTCATGGAGGAGATGGCATTAACCTGAGAGCCCAGTCTGCCCAGGCATCCTGCTGTGAATGACATTCGCAGTGAACGGCATCTAACATTTAAACATTAACAAAAAAATAAGCAAATGTAATGCACATATACAAATGTAGGAACAAGGAATTTGTTGAAGGGACCATTTATTAGTGGTGATCAACACAGCCCTGTACTAGGTTGTTTCTCATCCAACTGGTCTTCCCAGAAAAGGGTCACAAAATAGCAATCAGGTGTAGAAATGCTGGACAATGCGTCTGTACCCTTACTAAGGGCTCTGAGGCCAGGTATAATGTCCCAAGCACGGCACAGACTGTAACAAGGTCATTCAGCATTGTGGTAGAAAATTTACATGTTTGTGAGCAATTGCTGTCTACCTTTACATAGGTAAATGTATAGGAAGAGAGATTTTTACCAATAAAATATATTTCAATTTCAGACCAATGCCAGACTTGCTGTCTGAATCTGACAAATCTGAATGATTCTGAACCGAGGTCCCCAAGTCTCACAACAGTTCAGGTTGGTAAGAGTGCAGGTTGCCTTACAAAATCTTTGGAGAATCCATTGGATACATCAGGTATTAGCAGGATCTAATGACAACATTGAGATAGGATTAGTCCCTTTGCATCTCCAAACATTTACGCTTTCAACTGCTGGATTAAGAGCCCTAGGCTCCAGTACTTGACTGTAAAATGTCATGCTCAAAAGCATCTTTCTTCTGCTTTGAATGAGACAATGGCTGGAACAAGAGGAGTTGGATGAGCCATATTTTAAGGTTTATCAATTTCTTTTCAAGACTCCTGTTTAATACTTACTTATTTGTTTGTAAGTTATTATAGTGAAAGAATGATATGGACCTTCAGTAATTTATATTATGTAAATCTAGCCTCCTTCCTATTGATATTCAATGGGTGCAAACTCTCACATCCCAGGAACAAACATAAAATGTTGGCACAACTCTCTCCAGAAATGACTGCTTGCTGTTTTGAAAGTTCAATTTATTTTATGGTTGAATTTTTTTGTTTCTGTATCAAATTTAAAGAGACTTCCCAAGTTACCTATTGTGGTACCGTTGCAACAGTAAGCAGGAATATTATCTGTTTCAGCACAGATCTCATCCGTGAGTGATAATGTGAGTAATATCCTAATTATAAATCTTCAGATATAACAGTCACCTGAGAGAATTTCTAGGCTAACATAGAATGTGAAATAGTTCTCGCACACATTATTAATGGAATAACACATTCCTAAAGGGAAATTATTTGCAGCAATATTGAAAATTCAAAGAATTAGTGGAACCAACTTAAGTGAAAAGGAATGAGTAAAGTCACTTATTAACTTTTGATGAAGTTAGCTTGTATGATTTACATATTATGAATATACTGACATAAGAATTAGGAGTAGAAGTAGGCCAATCATCCCCCTAACCTGTTCTGCCATTCAATAAGGTAATGGCCGATCTGTTTGTGTTCCAAATTCCACATTCTCCAATAACATTTGATTATCTGCCTAACAAGCATATATCAATCCCCACATTAAAGCCATTCAATGACCCTACCCTCCACTACATTCTGAGGCAGAGACATCTAAAGTCGCGAAACCCTTTGAGAGAAAAAAAAACCCCATCTCTATGCTAAAACGGCATCCCCTAATTTTAAAATATTGTCCCTAATTTTGGGCTCACCCACAAGGAGGAACATCTTTTCACATTGTCAAGACCATTCAGGATCTTATCAACTTCTATCAAATCACACCTCATTCAGTTCTAGTGGAAACAAGTTCAGCTTGTCCAATCTATCCTCAAAAGTCCAGGTGCTCATTTCAGGTATCAGTCTATAAAACCTCCTCTGCACTATCTCCAATGTATTTACAAACTACCTTAAATAAGGAGCCCAAAACTACCCCCAGTTTTCAAGATGTGTCCTCACCAATACCCAATAAAGCTGAAGCATAACATCCATACTTTGATGTTCAATTCCTATCCTAATAAAGGATAGCATTCCATTAACCTTCTTAATGACTTGCTGTACCTACGTACTAACTTCCTGTGACTCAGCGTTTGGTTACTAAGAAAGATATAGGGTCCAACTTTAACTGTGTAAGGAGATGGGCTTTGAGTGGTTTAAAATCCTGACCACAAGGAATAAAATTTTTGAAGTGCTAGTATTTGTGTGTGAGGGAACATCCCATCAGAGTAGCTCAACACCCTTTCCTGTGTGCCAGTTATGGCTCAGGTGGTAATTCTTTCACCTCCAAATCAGAAGGTTATTGTTTGAAGTCCCACTGTCATGACTTGAGTTCAAAAATTTCGACAGGTTCTCTGATCAGAGCTGCTGGTTTGTTTTTGAATGTGACTTTAAACCGAGGCCCCATTTATCTACTCTCAGGTGGATGCAGAAGGTTCAATGTCATTATTTTAAAAAAGAGAAGGGCTAATATCCTGGTTGATATTTATCCCACAGTCACCACAATGAACAAACAGAATTATCACATTGCTATTTGTTGGAGATTGCATATTGGCACTCAAAGTTCTTACACTACATTAAGCATTACACTTTAAATATACTTCATTGCCTACAAAGTACGTTGAGACACCTTGAGGACATTTAGAGCTCTATATAAATGCAAGGCTTTATTTGACACATTTGGTTTTTGACAGGTATGACATTAGCTAAATACTGGGCTGAAAATCTGAGTCACTGGTGTTTGTTAGGGAAAAAAAAATCAGACATCCTTAGTTATCCTGGCCTGTACATGATCAACTGTTAGTTGCTTTCTGAAACAAGCTAGTGGGCTATCCAGTTGCACAGAGGTTGGAGACAAATGAGCTGAAATAAATGCTCTTTCCATTACAATAATATATGCGGAGCATTAAACAGGTATAATGTACCTTTTATAATGCACCATTTTCATGATGAGGGCATCACTGGCAAGGTCTTATTTATTGCCCACCCTTCATTTTTTCTTTATTTTTCTGTTTTATATCTAAGGTTTGTACCTTGGTACTTTGTACCTAAGATGGCACCGTGTGGGGCGGCATTGTAATCTGTACTTCTGTACTTGAGTACACGCGACAATAAACCTAATTCTAATTCTAATCTTTTCCCTTGAGAAGGAAGTGTTGAGCTGCCCCCATCACAGTCTTCGTAACTTTGGTACATCCACAGCACCCAGAAACGTGTTCAAGGTTTTTGACCCAGTAACAGTGAAAGAAAGTTGATATAGTTGCAAGTCAGGCTGGCCGATGCTAACTAACTGACAATTATATCAGTTATAATAAAACCCATTTCGATTGTGAAGACAGCTCTCGGCTGTTTAAGATACTAGAGACACAATTCATTTTGGCAGAGACTATTAACTAATGATTATAACTGACAGCACAAATCAAGTAGTGAACTTGCTAAAGGCAACACAAGTTTCAGCGAATAGTGAGAATTGTGTACTCACTATATTGTAATTACATAGGATAATAAAATTTTAATACTATCATACAGTAATTGAAATTTAGTTGTAAAGAGATGAAGGCAATGCAAATAAAACTTGATTGAAGGCCAATGATCAAATGACTGTATTTAACATATTATGGCCCTGAATGAACAAAAATTAGTGATTACTGAAAATAATCAGGTTACTTGGTAAAATGGGAGTCCTACTGATGTAAGGAGAAATCTAAATAAATACTCAGGGTTGTAAGTAATATAGTGAGTGTACCATCAGAGCACTACTTCTAGGTAAATAAACACTTCAAACTGAACTTAGGTTTGTTGTTTGGAAGGACTACTTCACACATACAATTCTATAGGAACTAGTCGAATACTGTGATGGGTTTTGTGCCAGAGATTTTTTTTCCCCCTTTGATGATGGACTTCATTTCCTGTGTTTATCTTCCCATCCTGGATGCTTAAAGTAAACTGTAACTTTCTTTATTCACTCACAGTATTTTGTTGCTCATCCAAGATTACCCTTGAGAAGATAAAGGTGAGCTATCCTCTTGAATAAAATGAAACGGCATGCTGGGCCAATTCAGAATCAATCAACCACATTGGTGTGGATCTGGAGTCATACCCTGGAGTCAGGGTAAGGACAACTGATTTCCACTCTTAAAAGGTGTTAGTGGATAGGACAAGTTATAGGACAAGTCAGTATTTCCACAATCATCATTTCTGATATTAGTTATTTAATTATAGATTTTTTTAATTAACTGACTTTAAAATTCACTGGCAGTGGGAGAATTTGAACTCATCTTTGTTGAGTTTAAGGCTAGATCTCTGGATTGCTAGTGACATAACCACTATGCCATCATAGCACAATCTGTTAGCACTTAAAGCAAAGCGTAAGTGAGATATTGTGAAGACAACTGTTAAGCTTTGGGATAGACAATACCTCTTAATGGATGCATTTACATTTTAAGTGGCAGCAAATTAGCCACTGCCAGCTAACTCAGAGTCCACAACACTGAGCAAAGCACTGATAGTAGAAAATTAACTATCAATCCAACAGAGAGCTCAGCTGGATATTTCAGGAAATGAAACTTTCTCATCAGAAGTCTGGTCCACTATTCCATCACCACCTGTCAACAAGAGGTTACAATAAAAGGTCTAACCATGAAAAATGAAGGGGATGGCCAAAGTCTGCTATCAGAAAACAATCAACTGGATCCAAATTGGAAAGAAATTTATATAATGACCAAATCCTTCAGTCTCTGATGATCCAAAGACCAGACATACAGCCCTGTGTAAGTCTTAATACACAGATCTACAGGGTATTGCACAGGAAATTTAATGTTCAGATGGCAGCAGGTCTGGGAGATTCATGAATGTCTTTGATTCTGAGTAGAATTGGAGGTCTCAGACGGCTCTGGGATACTGACTGCGAAAACACGTGGACTAAGTTTTAATCTGTCTAACATATTCTAACTCCGGGATAATGAATAACTGCAGCCTTTAATCAACCCATCATTCCATCAAGCCCTGCTCCACCACTACAGCCCCTATACTCCACGAGCATCCAACTATCCTCCCAACTACTCAATTTACAAGAATAGT